GAAAGTGTGCCCCGGGCCACTGCCGGGGGGGAGCGGACGGGGGTGGTATTAATAATTCTGCCCTGCTGGCACTCAGCCTCGCGGAAGCAAGAGAAGCTTGGTAAGTCTTGGGACACACAGGCGGGTAGCGTGGCCAGATGTGAGACGAGTTTGTGTCCGAGATAGTCAAAATGGATGCGGCGTGGAAAAAAAAAACGTTCTCACCTGAACAGATTGTATGCTATTTTCCGTGTTTGAGCCAATTTACATGAAATGAATGATGGCCTCAACACAAGTAAGGGGGAGATGAGACATGGATGCGCTCTGACCCCTCCTCTCCTTCCTCCTCTGCTTCCTCTTGCCCCTCCTCCTCTCCTTCCTCCTCTCCTTCCTTCCTCCCCTTCCTCCTCTCCTTCTTCCTCTCCTTTCTCCTCTCCTTCCTTCCTCCCCTTCCTCCTCTCCTTCCTTCCTCCCCTTCTTCCTTTCCTTCTTCCTCTCCTTCTTCCTCTCCTTCCTTCCTCCCCTTCCTCCTCTCCTTCCTTCCTCCCCTTCCTCCTCTCCTTCCTTCCTCCCCTTCCTCCTCTCCTTCCTTCCTCCCCTTCCTCCTCTCCTTCCTTCCTCCTCTTCTTCCTCTCTCCCCTCCTCCTCTGGCTCTTCTCCAATTCTCCGTGTCTGCTTCCTACCTCCCCCTCCTCTCCCTCTCTCTCTTCCCCATCTTCCATTCTGTCTCTCTTTCCTTGTATGCAACTTACTGCCAACAGCACAGAAACTGTATTCTGGGTTTCTGAAAGCATTCGCACTCATGGCTGCTTACTTAGGGTCATCTACCAGGGTCTATAGAAGAGTGTGTTGGATTTGAAATCAGTCTTTCTTTACGTCTTGACCCATCTTTCATTCAGTAGAGAGCTGTTCAGTTTTCATGGGTTTGCAAGTTGTCTGTTGTTTCTGTCCGGCCTAAGCCACGGTGGTCTGATAGCAGGCAGGGTGTTATTTCAGTTTTGGTGTATCTGTTGAGATTTGCTTTGTGTCTGAGTGTGTGGTCACTTTTGGAGAAAGTTCCCTGAGGTGCACAAAAGAAGGTATATTTGCTAGTATTTGGAGGAAGTATCTTGTAAACACTGGTTAAATCTATTTGGTTTATGACATGTGTGTGTTCCAGCGTTTTTCTGTTTAGTTTTTGTCTGGATGACCGGTCTGTTGGCGAGAGTAGGGAACCAAAGTCTCCCAGTATCTGTGTGTGAGGCTCAATATGTAATTTAAGCTAGCAGTGTATCCTTTATAAACTCGGATGCCGTTTGTTTGGGGCATAAATGTTAAGACTTGAAGTGTCGTTTTGGCAGATTTTTTCTTTGATGAGTAAGTAATATAATGTCCTTCCCTATCCTTTCTGTTTAGTTTTGGTTTGAAGTCTGCTTACGCCAGCTTGTTTCTTAGGTCTGTTTGCTTGGAATATCTTTTTATAACACTTTGAGGGGTTTCTCAGATGTAGCACAAGGATACTGTTTTCACATCCATTCTGTTAGTCTGTTTGTTTTCATTGGGGAATTGAGATCATTGATACTGGGGGATATCAACGACTGATGATTACTGGCTCCTGTTATTTTGTTGTTGTTGTTGGTGGTGGTGTGTGTGTGAGTGTATATGTGTGTGTGTGCATGGAGTGTGTCTGTTTCCCCTCCACTGATTTTGGTGGTAACAGATGTTTTTATTCCCTATGTTTTTGTGGTTGTAGTTAACATTCTTAGAATGGAGTTTTACTTCTAGCACCTTCTATAGGGCTGGATTTGTAGATAAATATTGCTTAGATTTTGACTTTATCATGGAATATCTTATTTTCTCCACCTATGGTGATTGAAAGTTTGGCTGGGTATAATATCCTGGGCTGGCATCTGTGTTCTCTTAGCATCTGTAGCAGTCTGTCCAGGCTCTTTTTGCTTTTAAAATCTCCACTGAGAAGTCAAATATAATTTTAGCAGGTGTGGTTTGCCTTTATAAGTTACTTGAACTTTTCCCCTTCCAGCTTTTAATATTATCTCTTCTTTTTTGCACATTTAGTGTTCTGATTATTATGTGTATAGAGGACTTTCTTTTCTGGTCCAGTCTATTTGGTGTTCTGTATGCTCCTTGTGCCTTTAGAAACATCTGGAGGAACATTTTCTTCGTTATTTGTTGAAAATATTTTTCTGGGCCTTTGATCTGGGTTTCTTCTCCTTCCTCTATTCTTATTATTCTTAGATTTGGTCTTTTCATGTTGTCCCAGATTTTCTGGATGTTCTGTGTCAAGAGTTTTGTAGACTTCATATTTTCTTTGACAGATGTATCCGTTTTTTCAGTCATGTCTTCAAGGCCTGAGATTCTTTCTTCTACCTATGATAATCTGTTTGTAAAGTTTGCTCTGTAGTTCCTGTTTGAACTCCAAAATTTTTCATTTCCAGATTTTCCTCAGTGTGGGTTGTCTTCATTGATTCTACTACCAGGTTCAAGTCTTGAACACATTTATTATTTTCCTTGCATTGTATGTTTATGTTTCCTGGATTTCTTTAGGTGATTATTCATTTCTTCTCAGTTTATTTGCATTTTCTTTGACATCTTTAAGGGATTTATTCACTTCCCCTGCAAGGACCTCCATCGTATACATATAGGCTCTTTCAAGGTCTTTTTCTTTGGCTTTAGCAACATTGGAATATTCAGGGCCTGCTGTGGTAGGCACTGCTGGGCTACAGGTGAGACTTATTGTTTTGGCTGGTATTGATTGTGTTTTTATGTTGGCGTCTAGGCACCTGGGATTGTGATGATTACAGATCTAGGTGTTTATATCTTGTTTTGTCTCTGTTGGGTAATATGTTTTTACCTTGGTTTCTGCTTCCTCTTGGATTTTAGGAGAATGCAATGGCTGTGTGTTGCCTGGTAGGACATTTTCTGTGGACCTGTTTCCGTGGCCTGCTCCGCCGGTGTGTTCCCAGTAAATGTCTGCTGGTGTTGGAGTCTGGGATAATGGGATGAGCTGGGGGAAAGGAAGCTTGGACGAGAAGATCTTTGGGATCCATTGGGGGTGGGATCAGAGAGGACAGAGGGGACCACAGCAGGTTTTCTGCTATTGAGCTGGGGGATAAGACTGGAAAGAAGGGTGTGGATCTGCAGTCTGTCCACATGTTGCCCTGGCAGGCGCAGTCTGCTGAGTTCCTGCTGGGGTTGGGGGCTGGAATAAAGCAAAGAGTATGGGGAAGAGAAGTTTAAAAGGGGAAGGTGTGTGGAATCCACAGGAGCTGGGGATGGGAGGGCAGTGAAGGTTGCCACAGGTGTTCTGCAGAGCTGGGGATGAAACCGGGGGATGGATCCAGAGGAACATTGGGAGAGGAGAAGATCTGTAGTCAGCCTACATGCTTGTCCGGTAGGCATTAAAAAGAAATCTTAACTGTAACCAGTGATTGACTTAGGGCTGGGGAAGTGGTTCAGTGTTTAAAGGGCTGGCCATGCAAGCATGAAGCACTGAGGACTTGCAATCCCTGGAACCCATGTAAAATGCATGAACTGTCCCACCACATATGTTCATACATGTGCAAACACACACGTGTGTGTATGTGCACACACATATACACACTACACACACACACACACCATACCTACACTACTGAGTGGAAAAATTAAAATGAATTATTGATTAATTTAGAACAAAATTGCATTATTTCCTCCCTTTCTTTCTATGCCTGTGGAAGGGGAAAGAATTATGATATATAGGGCGCACAGAGTCACGGTTATGAAGAAAACTTGAAACCCTGAATTACTTGGGGAAATGTTCAGATGAATGAAGATTAATTTGGGTAACTCTGTGATCTGTGTCTTCACAAAGAAGACACATTACTTGGGCGCAGATGAAACGAAGAAAGGAAACACAGCCTTTGGAGGCAGAAGTTAAAACAGGACCTTTTCAAAAACACAGATAACACCCAATGTCCTCATGAGGTTGTAGCCACAGAGAAGTGGGTAACAGGAAAGCCATTCCTGTGTCTCCACCAGTGGGGAGGGTCTTTCAGTGGCACCACAGAGGAATCCATTTTGGGAAGAGCAGTTCATGATGGGGGGGGGGTTGTTGCGTGTCCGAGTTGCTGTGGCACAATACTGCTGCCTGGTGGAGTAAGTAGTGACACTGGAGACTGGGAACCCACAGCTAACGTTTTCATCCTGGCCGGAGTGGGCTGAGACATTGCCACAGGGGACCTTGGGAGACACTCATGGCGGAGGGGATGTGGACAGAGGTTCTAACCCAGAAGACTCTGTAGGGGAAAGTAAGGGGGACACGTGACGGGACACGTGACTTTGCCCAGGGAGTGGTAAGGTCGCCCCTCCTGGGGCCCCTGCCTGACACTCACTTCCTCCGGGTCCCGTAGGCGCACGGATGAAAACCAGGGAGAGTTTTCAATGCCAGGCAGAGCAGTGATGGGTTGTGAAGGACTTGCTGTGCTCAGCCTTCTCTGGGCACACCCTGAGATTTTCTGAGGGCAGCTGTGGAGGAGCACTCCTCATCAGAGGAGGGCGCTACCATGGGAACCTCTGGTGAGCGCCAAGGCCAGTGTGGTACCAATCACCACCACGCAGAAACCGCACCCAGGCAGAGTGTCAGTGGGGGAACCTAGGTCAGGGGAGCCTTGGCCAACAACAGATGGGCAGGAGGCAGGGAAAGTGGAGAGCAGGGAGAAAGACAGAGCCTTTGACATGAAGTGACGCAGACAATTCTGTGTGGGTATGAGGGCTGCAATGAGCTTTGCTGCCAGTCTCGGCGGTCTCTGCTGAGGGGAACCGCCTAGTGCGTGGTGGCTTTTCTACATGGCGTCCCTAGTGTGGGGAACGTGTGTCCTCCCAAGCTTCCCATTTTCAGCAGCAGAGACTCTTTTCCTGGTTAAAATCCTTGTCATGGCAAAGTGGAGGGTTCTTTACAATCCTACCTGTTTTAAATGTCATAAATTCGCACTGGAGACCTTGAGAATGTAGAGCATATGCTTTCTTCTCTTTCCTTTCAACAGACGTGGACACTTGCCTTCATGGTAGAGCTATGGAGCCGTGCTCGCAATCACCCCCACAAAAGGAGGCTCCCCGAGAAGCAGGTAAGTCAACTCTCTGCAGCTGTTACAGCTTGTGGCTGCCTGTGGGTTCCCAGGCTGTGCTGTTCTCAGTGCTTGCGGTGAAGTCATCATGGCTGTCTACCTGCCCGCAGCTCTCAGATGCTGCATTTAGCCCTGGAAGTGTTTCCACACAGATGAGACTGTTCATCCTTACAACTCCCTGCTGAGGATTTGAGTACTCGATCCTCAGGGCTCACAGGGCTCATCTTTTGTACAGGAACACCGTGGGTGTGGCCAGATGGTAGGCTTCCTGGAGCATCCCAGAACGATGGGGCCTATTACCAGGGGTGTGCATAGGAGTCCCTGTAAATGTGACTCTGCATGATGGAGAGTCCGTAGGAAGCATCAGACCTTCTCGCTGGTGTTTCTTCTAGAGTCAATGTTTCTGGCAGAACAAATAATCCAATCCCCTCAATGGTAATTGCAGCCTCTCGTGAGGCGATCTCTTCTGCTTCCCAGGAAGGAATAGAAGGCAGAGGGAAGCAACTCCACCACCCAGGGAGGTTACATTTAATGCCCCCTACTGGAACTTAGGCAAAGGTGGCCCTGGCCTTCACTGCTCACTCATCATTTCTGTGAAAGTTGAAGACACGGGCAGTGAAAACGAGTTAACTGAATCTTCAGTTTTTCTGAGATCAGAGTGAATTCAGATTGTCACACATAAAATAATGCCCTTGTTTCTCTGAGGCATGGCTAACATACTGTAGCTATCCATGTGGGCCTGATGACTTGATCAGATGCGGTGGTTAGCCTTTATGGGTTAGAGGAGGCAAGTTTTCTACTCACGTCTGTCAGAGTGTGTCCTGGTTGGGTTTCTATTACTGTCAAGGAACACCATGGCTAAAAGCAAGTTGGGGAGGGGAGAGCTTACTCACACTTCTACATTACTGTCCATCACTGAAGGGAGTCAGGACAGGAACTCAAACAGGGCAGGAGCCTAGAGGCTGGAGCTGAACCAGGCGCCATGGAGGGGAGCTGCTCACTGGCTTGCTCCCCATGGCTTGCTCAGCCTGCTTTCTTATAGTATCCAAGACCACCAGCCCAGGGATGGAGCCTGAGCTGGGCCCTCCTTCATCAATCACTAATTAAGAAAATGCCCTACAGGCTGGCCCACAGCCTGGTCTTAGGCATTTTCTCAGTTGAGGCTCCCTCTGCTCTGATAACTCTAGCTTGTATCAAGCTGACATAAATGTAGCCAGCACAGGGTAATGGAGGATGAGAACCCACCTTGAATGTGGGTGGCACTGCTCCTCCTGACCACAGGTCCCAGACTCTATAAACAGGAGCACAGGGAGCCAATATTTGTCTCTCTGCTTCCTGCCTGTGAACACATGTGACCAGCTGCCTCAAGCCCCTGCCACCATGCCTTCCTCCAATGGTGCCCTATACCCTTGAACTGTGGTTCCAGGTAGACCCTTTCTTCCTAAGCTGGTTTTGTGATAGCAACGAGGAGAGCAAAATCGCATGTCTAATATAGGTTTGTAAATTCTGGAGAATGTCTGCTCGTGTGACTCCATCATCAAAATCACAATAACAAGCAAATCTTGAAGCTGGTTTGGAGCCTCCTGAATCCCTCTCTTGCCTTCTGAGCCCTGGGAAACTGCCACCCATTGTCATTGCTAGCCTTTGTCTCCTCTGGCAGCTTATCTCTTGCTTCATCTGATCTCTTGGGCACAGCGGAGTTACATTGGTGTCCTCTTTTGCAATGAGTAGATTACTCAGTTGGTTGCTAAGTGGCATTCTTTTTGTTTTTCCAAGACAGGGTTTCTCTGTATTCTTTTGGAGACTGTCCTGGAACTCGCTCTTATAGACCAGGCTGGTCTCAAACTCACAGAGATCCACCTGCCTCTGCCTCGAGAGTGCTGGGATGCTGAGTGGCATTCTATGAAGTGAGTGTAACATGATTGGTGTTTAGCAACTCACATGGCTTCACATAACTACACATGCTGACCTGACTAGGTGTTCTCGGCTTTGCCACTGGTGTGTAGGAGGTCAGTGTCTTCATCAGAAGAAACATGAAGGTTTGAAGGTTGACACTTTTGGCCTAACTGCTGAGCATCTCTTGAAAGTGTCTGTGCCGCTGTGTCCTTGCAATGGCAGCATTGTACAGGTGCAGTTGTTAAGCGTTTTCACCGAAAGTGTCCATGGTAGGTGTGTTTAAATTTTGCCATTCTGATATATGTCTGTGAGCTCCTCACGGTTGTTTTCACTTTCCTCTGAGTGAACTGAGGACTTCACCTGTGAATCCTTGCCCAACACATTGATTCTTCGGTGAGCAGTAAATATAAACACCTATCTATCCATACTTGAATGCTCATTAGTAGTACTTTTTCAGTAAGAAGAAAATAGTGAAACAGTAAGGAAATGTTTGCGCATTACTCATTCCTTGGTGATGTCAAGGACATTTTTTAAAATCAGATAATAGAAAAGCATTTTATCTTTTTTTTTAATACTTTGTTACAATGTAAAGCAACTGAGATGGTCGGCTTTTGAATTTCAAATGTGTTATCTCTGTTTCTTTAGACTGCAAATCAAACTCTAAAAATGTGAAATCAAAAGCTCATTTGGCTTTTCAGCATTTGCTGTCTGTGAGTGTGCAGAGGTGTGGGTGCTGACATGCTTCCTGCTGTGGTTTCAGACTGGGATGTTCCCTGTGAAAGGTTGGGATGGCAGGAATGCTTTTGGTAAAAGCTGATTGGACCACAGGTGCTCTAATCTTATCCATGATTAGATTCATGATTCCATGGCTTGGCTGGGAGCTGGCAGAAGCTAAAAGGCAGGGCCTGGTTGGAGGATGTAGGTCTTTGAGGGAATGCCTGGAAAAGGTATGCTCATTCTCCCTCTCTCCTCCCTTCCCCCTCCCTCCCGTTCCCTGCCTCCCTCCCCCTCCCTCTCTCCCTCCTCCCTCCCTCCCTCCCTTTTCCTTCTTCCCTTCCCTTCCCCTCCCCCCCACGTACACACTCATTCTCCCATACAGAAAGAGAAAGGATAGAGGGCAAGTTGAATGAACTCCAAACTGACAAGGCAGGTGCTTCCATGACTTACTTCTGTTATAAAATGATTTACATTGTGTAGTGCCAACACTGAATGCCATTAGCTAGTCAAATTCTATGAAAAAAAATCTCACATTACCTGTCTTTGGGAACACTGGACTCTCTCAGTGGCTTGGAGGGAAGGTTTGCCCATACCCTAGGCCTTGGCCTAACAGTCTCACCGTGTGGATGTAGAGGAGACTTTAGCCTATAAACTGGGACAAAAAGAGGGTTACTAAGGCAGGGAGATAGCACCCCAAAGATCCAATAATCAGAACCTCTCAGGGCCTCGAGGATGTTTTTATTACTACTCCTCTTTTCCCATGGAAATTACAGCCATAAAAACAACAAGAAAAGAGACCATGAAGGAAAGGGGATCTTTGCTTGTGATTTAAATTACTGCAGAACACAAAACAGCTGCTATAAGTTTTTAAAAATATCAATAATATTGTAAACCACATTATGTATATTCAAGAATATTCAAGAATGACGGTAACTCAGTATGAGAAAGAGATGTTTGATTTTCACGTTAATTGCAAAATGGTTCTCAGTAGTCACAGTATGGGAACATGTACTATGTCCCTAGGCAGACAGATGAGAAGGTGGGATTGGAAGATTATCCCTCAAGTAAGAGGAAGGGAATCTCAGCTTCTTGGGAAACTTGGGTGAACCCAGGAGAGATCATCTGGGGGAACTAAGCAAACAAGAAAGACAGACACCCCATCACCTCACTATATGTGTAGTCTATAAAAGTCCACTTCAGGGGAGTCCCTTGGGGAATCTGACCAGAGAGTGTGGGTGAATAGGATAAAAATATGTTGTTTACATGTACGAAAATTTGCAAAAATAGTGATATTCAACAACAGCTTCAACAAATCAAAAGTGCATCCATGCAAATAGAGAGAAGAATGGTGACGTACAGCGGCAGGGGAAGGGGAGGGATGGAATATCCAGGCAGGGTGCAAGGTTTCGGTTAGACACACGGAGTGGATCCCGAACTCTACAATAGCACACAGCAACTGCAGCTTCTAGGAACCTTCCCGTTCACAGTTGCTAGGATGTTATGTGGACATCCTAAGTGTTCTCATCCCAAGGTACATGCAAGGTGTGCATTTGCTAATTATCTTGATTTGACCCTACATGCATATACAAACAGCGTGCATGTACACACACACACACACACACACACACACACACACTATGGTCTTGACAGCTATACATTAACAAAGCTGGGTTAAAGCCAAAGTCTCTCTCACTGTAAGACAGGGAAAGCAGGAGGGAAAACAGGTTAGAGGAGAAAATTAAAACATCCAGGCAGGATGGATGAGATGAAGAGGTTTAAGACAGCGAGACGCCATCAAAGGTATCAGAAAGGAGGTTAGGCCAGAGTGAGAAGGCAGGGAGTGAAATAATGTGGTTTCTGATGCTCACAGGTCAGAGAGCTGAGAACAAGGTCCCCCCACCCTGCCCCCCCACCCCACCACCACTCATGGTAAGTGTGCTTACCCCCTACTCTTGCCTCTGATCCCTCTCCCTCCCCAGGTTCACATCCGTTTTTTTTCCCCTTCATGCTGTAGGAGGCCCTGCAGATGAAATTCCCCAAGGAAGACTTGGCTGATCTCATCGACGAGGTTTATTCCCCCACCCTTCACATTTATGACGTCTTACTGGATTTAGTACAGTAGCCTGCCTGTATCCACGGCTTCTGAAGCCATGAATTCAGATGCAGGGATCCGAAGTAATAAAAATGTGTCTGCATTGTACATGAATGGGCTTTTGCTTGCCATTATTTCTGAGGCAAGATGGTCGTACTGACATGGTGTTTGTATTTTACTAGGCATTAAAAGTTGTGGGGGTGAGCCTTATGTCTACTTGACACAAGCTACAGTTACTGAGAGGAGGGGATCTCAATTGAGAAAAATGCTTCCCTAGAATCCAGCTGTAAGGCATTTCCTTAATTAGTGGTCAGTGGGGGAGGGCCCAGCCCATTGTGGGTGGTGCCATCCCTGGGTTGGTGGTCCTGGGTTCTGTAAGAAAGCAGGCTGAGCAAGCCAGTTAGCAGTACCCCTCCCTGACTTCTGATTCACCCCCTGCCTTCAGTTTTCTGTTCTGTTTGAGTTTCCATCCTGACTTCCTTAGGTGATGAACAATGATCAGGAAGTGTAAGCCAAATATACCTGTCCCGCCCCTCCCAAGCTACATTGGTCATGGTGTTTTATTACAGCAATAGTAACCCTAACTAAGACAAAAATCATCCAGAAATTTGAAGGATTATGAGGATAGTGTCAGTCTTACTCAACAACACTGATGTTTGATAGAAGGGAGCCAAATGTATAAAAATTATGCATGTGCCTTTGTGACTAACGGCCATCGTCTCCTCTCTGGGTGACAGCCTGCAGTGACATTATCTATTTTACTTGTCTCTGTGTGGCCTGACTCCTGCTGAGGGGCCTCGAAGAGTAACTTGTACGAAAGACTGTCTGATGAGTCCATCTTTGGTTCTGGCTGCAGGCTGCTTACTAGGACCACACCCAAGTAATGAAAACGGAGCTTGCAGGTTCCACAGCTTTGAACTCTCCACACGCTTTCCGCACACCACGTGGCAGGTGTGTGGCACGTTGCAGATCCACAGCTATTGCGTTGCTTCATGAGCACGTGCAGAGAGGCACAAGACTCACACAGTGGATTCAGGATTGCAGCTTGGCCTACTGAATTCGGATTTGTGTAGGCCTAACCAGAATGAACATGAGTCTGTGTGACCATCCCTCCTGGGGGGGCGGGAAGAGCCTCGGGCACAGCATCCCACAGCAGTTCAAGGCTTTCTCTGTGCTTAATGGTCTAGTACGCCTTTCTATTTAAACGCACCAGGCTGTGTAGCAGGCTTCTCCTTTCCCTCCCGGAACACAGCTCCATGGGGAGAGATTCCCTTCAGCAACACACTTTGGCAACTCTGGTACCCTGTTATGACATCTCTTCCTCTCCTGAACACATCATTACTATCTTCCTTCTACATAAAGCAAGTCATTCACTGCATTTTATACGTCTCAGGTATATATTTTATACTTACAACTGAGCCCAATGAATCTTCAGGCAAGGACACTCCCAAGATGGAGAAGATTCTCTGAGACGGGCAAGAATGCATTTCTGCGTTATGGGGGTTCCCTTCCCAGAGGCACTGTGAGGAATGAGAGTTCTAGGGACTCACTGCTGCCGCCCTCCAGACTCCCAGTCATCTTGTGCTTTCTGTTGGCTACCAGAAAGCTGTCAATGTGAGCTTCTTCTCTTGTCTATACTTATTTATCTATTTAGATTTAGCTTGTTGTGCGTGTTTGAGTGCTTCGCTTGCGTGTACATCTGAACCACGCACATATACATGCCTGATTCCAATGGAGGACATCAGAGGATGTCAGAGCCTCTGGAACTGGAGTAAACACACAGCTATGAGCCACCACCACTGGGTGCTGGGAATCAAAACCGGGTCCCCTGTGAGAGCAGCGATTGCTCTTAAACACTGAGCTATGTCTCCTGCCCTCGTTTCGCCGTTTTATGAACTCAAAGAGAATAAATCATGGCTTCCGATCATCCTGGTAGAGATGAAATAAAACTTTTTTTCCTTCATTTTTATCTTCTGAGCTTGTCTGGACATTACACTGAAGGTTCTGCAATTACCATTTTTTTCCCCTTTCAGGAATTTCTGCTTTGGGCTCTTCATTTAAGCCTCGGGCACCTAAGGTAAATATTGAAATATGAATGGATTTAAACTCTCATACGGAATGCTTTCTATAAATGAGGAATGTAAATCCATACCGGCTGCCTGGACAGACCCATAATGTTAACTAACGGGTGGAATTTTCGTGTGAGCCATGTACATTCTCAGACTGTTTCTGTTCCGGATGAAGAGATCCACCCAGGCTAGTCACTTCAGCTAAAGCTATTTGCAGGCATGCAATTGTGTTACTGCCCCTCAGAGACTTGAGAGGCCGTGTCCTGAGGTACCAGAGGTAGGACAGGCAAGGGAGGGCTGGGGGAGCAGGAAGCTTGCCTGCCCTGTGCTGTGGTAGGAAGCCATGATGTCAGCAAGCAGCCATGACCACAGGGTGTGACACATCCTGGGAAGAGGGCTTAGTTCATTCTTATCGTGGGAGGGTGTGTGGGGATGAAGACAGTTTTGGAAGGAAGAATTTGCTCCACTTTAGTTGAGAAGGAAAAGTGGCCAAAGATTAGGAAAAAGTAGGTGTCCCTCCATTTGGAAGGATCAGAAACACTGTTGCATCCATAGCCAAGCAATTAAGTAACCAATGGACATTTACTTAGATGTAAATATGTTCTTACAAAGGTCTTCACATGGACTATCTTCTGGAACAGTTTATGCAGGAGATCTTGACTGAATCTCACTTCCCATTGGGCTCAAAACTCACAAAGCGACCAAAGCAACCAGGCACATGTTTGATGGCATGGGGGTGGGGGCTACGGGGGTTGGGGAGTGTGATCTGGAGACACAGGCTAGAGCCTGGTGTTACGTGTGGTTGTGGGATGCCAGGTGTGAATGTTGGGACTAAACTGGGCCTCTACAAGAGGACTAAGAGCTCTTAGCTTCTAAACTATGTCTAACTTCATAATGGTATTCTCTTGTCTTGGCCAAGACATTACCTGAAATGAAACCATCAGTAGTCATTGCTTCCTTCTCCCAGGTTATAGGAAGGAGGTTCACTACCACACTTCCCCACACCTGACCCTTCAACTTAAGGGAACTAATTGGACATGCTAAGTATCTGGGGAAAAGATGGTATAAAAGGTTTCAAGACCGAGCTATGGGGATGGGGTGTAGTTCAGTGGTAGAGCACTTGCTTAGCAAGCAGAGACTCTGGGTCAAACACCAGCACCCACTACCACTGCAAGAACAAAACCAAGTACACACACACACAAGGCAATAATAAAACAAGCCATCCCTCTGTGTCTCCCGTTTATGAGTAGCGCTTCAATGGCTGTTCTGGGAAACATGCCTTCCCCACGCTAGGGGAACCCCAGGTGACATCCTTAGCTCAAGATGACTGTTTTCTGAGTCACTCAATAGCTGCTTCACTCATGTCAGAGGCTATTTCTAAGTAGTTTAGCGTGGGCAGTTTTCACCTTTGAGAAAATCATCTGTTCTCCTTTCAGTGGGATTCTGTCTGCTTTCCATCTTGTTAGTTCCAAAGCGAGGCATGGTTGACACACTGCAGAGACCGAGGCTGAGGTGATTCGCCTTGGGCATTGCAGAACGATTCACACTTTAGAACAATTGAGAGTCCTCCTTAACAGAAAGCATGATTGTTGGGCAGTGCCGTGGATCAGCTAGGCAAGGCACATCAAAGCCAAGTGCACTTTTACTTTCCTGGGATAGTGACAAGTTATTTTCCAAAGCAAGTTGGAATTTAGGCAAATGGTTTAATTTCAGTATGCAGAATTGATATTTTTAATCTAGCCAGCTTTGAGCTAAGGGGCTTTATTGCCAGGGGACTAGATAATTGAAGTTATTAAGGTAATAACCTGTATAATTTTATAAAAAGCCATCTATTAAATATATTCTTCAATAGCATTCAATCATCCATGAACTTTTTGTAATGTGAAGGCCTTCACCAGAACATCTCCGGGTATTTTCAGACTCTTGCAAGGGCTGCACAGGACCTAGGACGCCGCTGGGTCCGTGTCCTTGGGTGGTTGCAGATTACATCTCAGCCCGAGAATCAAGTCAGGGCTTTCCTTACCTGCTTTTGAGGCAGACAGGGAAGAAACACCAGCCCAGATCAGAGGATAACCCCTACCAACTTAATGAGGACCAGGGAGATAGGTGGAGCACAAGGGAGTGAGTGTGCTCCAAGCCTGGAGTCGTGCTTGTGCCCTTGTCTCTTCCCATTGATGAGCTGGTTTGCCCAAGCAAACGCCTGAAATAGGAAGAGACTTTTGTGTCTTCCGCATCTTGAGATGAACATTATAAGTGCATCCTGTCTAACACCTGCTTTGCACCCTAAAGGTTTCTTTCTTTTTTTGCTCTCTGAATCATTTCTCCTGTGATTTAAAAAAAGAAGAAGAAGAAAAGTAAATTTAAGGTTGTTTATACCTGTGTATTGGGTGCAGATTTTCCTATGAAGTGCTACTAGGGGAATATCATATTGAGTAAATTCGTCTTCACTACTTATCTATGTCACTGGACAGGTTGCAAGAACATATATTGCCCCATCTTTCAGTTTGGCAGGAGAAAGGAAAAGAAGGGCGTGTCAGAAATTAAAGAGCTCCGCGAGGAAGCCAAAACAATATCCCAAGTCCCAATGATACCAATTTCTTGCCAAAATAAGCCTTTAAGTTTTGTCTCTGTCTGCATCAGACCCAAGCTTTATTGAGCTGGTCCACTCCTTTTCCCTGATGCCCTCACTGCACTGAAGTGCACTGACTGGAGAAGGTTTTTCTGTCTTCTAATTATGAGCGGATGCACTTTTAGTCTCCAGGTGCCCGTGCCAGCCCTTTCCATCTCCCTGGCTCTCCCTGCCCCCACCCTTCCCCTTCATACCTTTCTCTATCACTCTGGTGTCCACACACCTCACTTCTACCTCACCAGTCAAGGCAGGACCCACTGTCTTTGTGGAGATTCCTACCACGTAGGTGTGGATACCCATCGAACCCGTGGAAACACCTTCCCACCCTTCTCTTGATTCTGTCTCTCTCTCTCTCTCTCTCTCTCTCTCTCTCTCTCTCTCTCTCTCTCTCTCTCTCTCTCTCTCTCTCTCTCCCTCCCTCCCCCCTCTCTCTTTGCCACAGTCATCTGGAAAGACAATGCTCTGATGTGGAGAGATGTCACTGTTGCTCCGAGCTTTGAAAAATGCAGTAGCCTCACTGCAAGAAACATTCTAGAACACTCTAGAAGGGCCCAGGACAAGGTCTCCTCAACGCTGAAAGCACCAGTTTCTCTGTCCATGTGAGGAACAGCATGATACTAGACAGGTGGGTGTGGCAAGAGGTCTCTGTGGACACCCAATGAAGCCATTGAAGGGTGATGTCTGAGCCTCGTTGCCTGTGCCATTTATAACTTTGTGGTTTGCTGTTGTACTCATTGAAGGGATCCGTTATTCAGTCCTTAAGTGCGCCGCTTACAGCCCAGTCTTAGGGCCTATGCTTCCGTGCTCCCATTTTTCTCCAGGTTTTTTTCATTTTCTGAAGGGATGCATTTCTGTAGAGTGCAGTGCACAGTTCCTTTAAAGGTGCTGTTCGGTGAGAACGGACCATTTGTCATCGGCTCCTTCACAAGGGTCAGAGTGTTCCCCTTGCCCTGGAAAATTTGTTCAGGGCTGTTTCCAACAAGACGGGCGGGTCTCCTTTCTCCTGTCTAGCTATTGGATGTTTAGCTCTTTATTAGACCAATCAGGTGCCTCAGGCAGGCAGGGTGGAGTAAATGCAACACATTTTACATAATTAAAAAGAAACGCAGCACAAACAAATGTAACACATCTTTGCCTAGTTAAAATAATATTCTACAACAATCCTGGCTTTATCTATTTTTATTCATCTGTCTGCCTGCCTGTCTGTCTGTCTAATATCATCATCTTATATGCATGCTTATGTACATACACATATATAACATACATATACAGACGTGAACACATACAAACATATTTTGGTGCTTGAGACCGAATCCAGGGTCCTTACAGACACACGACCTCCAACTCTGCATCTGCTTTCTTGCGTATTCAATTCTGCATCTGAGAAAGAGTCCTGTTAAAATCCCCGGTCCCTTCTAATGAGGAAGAACACAGAGTTCATTTGCTTCCGTTCCTCTTTTCTTTAATTCATTGTGAGGGCGTGTTATTAAGGATAAACTGTCTACAGTTTTCCTGGGTCACCTATCACCCCCATGGAAGTTTGGTTACATCCCTCCCCCTCCTGACTGCAGTTTGTGTTTTAGGCTTGTACTGGACATTGTAGTTTTCATAGATCATATCTATACAATTAGATGCTGCAAAACAGTACACTAGATAGATGCCCCATCCCTATCCCCCCATTTCTTACCCTACTTCCTGTTCCCCCCTTTTCCACGTTGAGGATCAAGCCTAGGATGAAGCCAGCCCCCTCTCATTGCGTCTGTCACGTCCCCTGCTCACCCTGAATTTCCTTATGTGTGAGCAACTAGAACATCTTTATTTTCTTAATTCTACTTCTGCAGATGTACACAGCCCCCCTTTGCCCCCTCTTAGAGATGCACCTTGGCACTCCTTCACGAAAGCCTGTGCTTCTGCTTTTCTTTATTTCCCGAGCTGCCCACATGCCCACAGCAGAGGACGTGCCAGCCTCTGTTTCCCGACTGCTGTGTGTGTGGGGAACTGGTTGCCTCTAATAATTGGCAATTATAAATAACGTTGCGGTGAGTAATTTTGCGCATATGCATGTTGAGGGGTGTCTTCAGGGTAAATTACCAGACCCAGGATTGCTAAGCCAGAAGATAAATGCTAAGCGGGGTTGCTAAATATTGCATGAACCAATTTACATTTCTGCCAGAGTATATGAAAGTGTGTTTCCCACAGCCTCAACCAAAGTGTGTTATCACACTCTAAAAGATGTTGACATTCCAGTAGGTGAAAAATAACGCTGGTGTAATTGCTGCAAATTTTATTGTGGTTATCATTTACATCTAATGTATTACACCCATTTTAATTATGTAGTTTGATGCTTTTAAAAAATGGTATTACTTTAACAGAATTTTA